TTTGCTTCGCTTGGCGGAAATTATATTCTTCAAACGCCGTGTTTACGTGCGGAATAAAATAGGCATTGAGTGCTTCTATCGCTTTGTCGTAGTCTTTTGCTTCGCCAGTGTCTGAAAGGGTGTCAAAAATTTCGTCAACAGCCGGTCCTGCGAAATGTAATAGCATCGCACGTTGTTGTTTTTTGTCGGTAATATTCATCACCACAAGCAACCGTTCAAAGCGGCCTAGCCATTTTTTCCAGCGATGACCAGTATTTCCATCGGCATGGGCATCGAATGGCGGGAATGTCGGCAAGGAGAAACTAGTAGCTGCCATGGATAGATGTAGAAAACGGCGACTAACGACTTTATACGAAAAAGATATCGAAATATATTGTTGTTGTGAAAATGGCGCGAAATGGCTTCCTCGTGGTCACACGAAAATCTTGTTTTTATACGAATTTGCGCTTTGAAATTCGATGTTTCGACGTTGAAGATTGACTAAACGTGTTTACTAACTCCAATTGTGTATCCTCGTCGCCAAAATGTAGTGTTTAAGACTCAATAAAACGAGATAAACGCGTGTTATAGTGTTTGTAAACTATATATTGAATACTGATTAGTTATTCCTATTTGGATTAGTTATTAGCATATTAATTAGCTATATTACATCTCCTTCTTACCACCATAACTCACCTTCAGTGCTTCATAAGTGTCATGCCAAGGACAGCCTTGGTTCGTACAATGTAAACATAATCCATTGAGCTCACGTTTAGTGAAAGCATCGGTGTAAACCTGAAAGAAATTCATGTCAAACTTTTACAAATACCCAAGGTTCGAATTATTGTTTAACTAATAGCGAGCTTAAAAAGATGCTGTAAAGTCCGTTCTACGCATCAGTTCTGCTCATAACAAAGGAGGACCCGCAGATATAATCGAACTTTTATGAATTGAATTGAAACGTAAAGTTTATATTCAGTTACAAGCATAGCGCGACCAGAAAAGTGTTAGATATTCAGTTGGTATATCATATTTTGCAAATATAGCAGTTCAAAATGTAAACAAAGCGTTTGTTTACATTACTGACTTTACAGCATGTTTTAGGTCACCGATTCATCGTGCAGTTTTGCATTTCATGCACACTTTTACTAGTTTACTGCGCATATCTAATAACAAATCCTAGTTAATGTATGTAGTCGAACTGCAATGTAAAGTGATAAAGAAAGAGTAAGGGCAAAGAGAAAAACACTCTGCATTGATTATATAGGCGTGCTTCAGGAAATATACCTTCAAAAATGACAGAAGGGCTCATGTGCAACTAACACTAAACACATCATGATGTATCATGCATGTTTAACCCTTGTATCTCTTCAAGAAGGTCCTGGCCCTACTTTTTTTATTTTATATTTTTGTTCTTCTATATGTTTTACATGTCATATCAGAAAATAAGAGAAAATCATTTCTACAAATTATAATATTTTACATTTTTCGCGCATGCACGCTTCCCAAATAACATCTCTGAGAAGATGGGACAATGCACGACAATGCACGTCAATGGTTTTTGATATTCTCTTTTAATACCAGGTTACCTTGTCCCCGAGCCAACGGCGCAGAGCGCCGTTCCGTGCGTAAGCCCGGGGCGAGGGTACTAATTCCGCACGGCTATTTACACCCGGGGAAACGAAAGCATTAGCGAAGTCAAAAGTTCATCAATGATCGCGGGCGTGGGTTACCGTGAGTGGTTCGGTGGGTGGTAATCTCACTGATCTCAAAATATGGCTGTTTGCCAGGAGTGAAGAGTAGACTGTATGTCGGAAAGCTTGGAAAATCGTTTCACATACCATTTTTAAACGTAAACATTTATAAGAATTGATTTAGTATGAGAAATCCTAAAGTATAGGGCAAGTTTGTTTCAATTGTTTATGTATGACTTTGTATTAATGTGGACTTTCTTCTTGATGTTCAAGTATTTCCTATGCATTGTTTGCGAACGTTTCTTAGTTAAATTAACCTTTGTAGAAGTTCACTACAAAAAAAAGAAAGCAAATTATTTTCATTAGCGTCCTGTACGAATTAAATTTATTTCCTTTCAAAGTGCGAGTAATAAGTAGAAGCTTGAGTTTAAGAGTTTATATAAATATCGGCAAAAAGCAGCTGATTTCAATTCACATTTAAAAACGTTTTACGTAGAGTTTCGTTTTGAATTTTACATTAAAATGAAGCCCATAGAAACCAAAATATACCTATACTTTATATATTTTAGAAATTGATAGTTCTGTGTTTAAAAGTGTTCAAGTTTCATCTATTTTTTGCAGCTTTGCACAAAAATTTTAAAAATCGTGATTCGTGTTGCCATGACTAACATCACGTGCAACACGAGCCTGCGTTCAGTCACAGATGAGGTAAGTACAGATATGAATCTCACGGCAAATTATGTCACACCGATTAAATAAACTTTAAAATTGTATTAATTCACTATTTTATTAAATTTTGATAATGCAGAGGAATAAAAGTATACATATTATAGAAGTATTCATGGTTTTTTTATGCGAGAGTTATGTTTTGAGGCATTTATATCATTCGCTGTTTTGTTATTTATACACGAGCATCTGAAATTCCCAGCAAGTGTATTTCACGATTTTAATAAGAAGTAGATAGGGAAAAAAACAAACTTTGGCTAAATAAAATGTTATATTAACACTTTTAATAAAAAGAAATCAATAAAAGTGATCGCTTACCGCTACTCTTGAAGAATTAATTTCAAAAATAGCCGTCGGTAGCGTAGACTTTAAAAAAAACAACAATTTTTCGTCTTTCGAACGGCGTTTTCCTATCTCTTTCCTTATTAAATTTCAGAACGACACTTGCCAGCGCTCGCCGGAAGTGGGAATTCCGTGTGACACAAAACAATCAGCAATTTGACGTGAGATTCACATCTGTACTTACCTCATCTGTGGTTCAGTGTTGGCGTAATTACGAATACTTCATGTTGAAACAATGTTTGCAAAATATAGGCGAGGGGTTGTTGCATGCATGTATTTCTAGTATATAATCACTAAATAGACATTTTTATAGTAGGAGCCTTGTTAAAAAATCATTAACGGTAGAACAATTGCGATTGTTCCTGTAACTCGTAACAGAGTCGAGATGGTGGTTTATGGGGGAAAAGGTGGCACATTGCACTTGTCATATCTTCGAAACGATTTCGGTGACCCCAACGTTTTTGTTTTTACTATGAGCATATTGATCATAAACTTCACCGCTGGGAAGTTTCAACAAATTCTCATTTCCAGAACAATTACTGATGAATCACCAGTGGCGGAAATCTTGGTGGGGCGCCTTCACGGAAAATTGACTAAGGGCTAAAAACAGTCTTTTCGAGTGCAAATGGAGGGTATGTCGGAAATTTGAAAGTTTTGTCGGAAATGTAGGAGGTTTTGCCCCCCCCCCCACTGGAAAAAGTGAATTTCCGCCACTGTGAATCACCTTGAGCAAGCGACATTTTTGTCAATTAACACGAACGTCACCCAAAAATTGGTATAATTAATTTTGGCGGCATTTTGCATCATAGCGCTTGTGTAAGTAAGCAAAAATCTTTAAAAAATTTTTGTGATATGTGTTGAAGGGTACCACAAACTGACACAAACACAGTTTTTAATCCAGTCCCCCCTCGGAAATCTGACGTCCGTGTGTAAGTATGTAAATGTGAATCACTCACTTTTTCTTTTTCGAGTACTGTACCATCTGTAGGACATCTTGGGTTTGAACTTCTGAATGATAAAAAAATAGTTCAATATTCAATCTTCAGGATCAAGTAATCAAACCTCGTTTCATAAGCATCACGCTGAGTCTGCAGAGTAACAGGGGCACCAGGCAGGCCGGTTCAATCGTGCCAAATATCGCCCATGACAAAATATAAGCGAATGTTATATGCAGCAATCTGGGTGACGGGCATGGCCTCATATTTCGCACACAACATGATCAGGGGGGTGATCAAAAAGAAATATATTTGTGCACGAAATATGAGATCTAACCGTTAGCTATGTGGGTAAATATCAGGATTGTTTTGACTCTGTAGCTCAGTTGGTTAGAGCAGCTAGCACTGCACCGGAAATGCAATGACACAGGTTCAATTCCTGCCAGAGGGCTAATTATAGTTGCATTTTTCGCAGCGAAGAGTATTAAAGCATAGCAATACACTGGGAAAAAAGTGAAATCCACACTATGAAATTTGCAATTGCACCACTAAATCCATAGTATATCCATACTATTTCGATACTATACCCATAGCATGGAAATATACAATTATTATGGATAATCTTCAAAATTTCCAAATAAAGGTCCATACAATAAATTTCCATTCTATGGCCTTTTCAATTTTTATGGATTTTCAATTTTTTCCAGTGATAAAGAAAACTAACATACTCTAGCAATGTTTGCAGGCAGGCAAAACACATCAAGTGTCCACATTGAGTTTGCATCGGCGTGCACAACAACATGTCACAACTGGTGCAGATGAATTTCTTATCGATTTTCTTCCGATCTTCTGGTGTAATTTTTGTTCCCGGCATGATAAAAAAGAGGCTTCAACTAGAGAAAGAAAAAATACTTTTTAGAATACTTCCTCGACGCATCTTGTTATCCTACATTACAACTGATAAAGTAAATATATGATAACAACATACACACATACAGTCAGTGTGCATTTAGTTTCGCTGTATATATGGAGTTTAAAAGTCAATGATGCTATAAACTAGGGATCCAAGGATAGTGTGAAGTTTCAAATTGAAAAAGACACTGCAAGAACTATATAAGGTCGCCGACAACCTAGAAAAGCTAATGGCTTACACTATGAAATAAACAGTTACCAAAGGCATTTCATCTCATTATGTATTGTTTTTATAATGCGTTCGGCACATGAGTAGCGCGACGTTTGAAACAAGCCTAGCACATCAGAAACGTCGTGCCTCGTAGAACTTACACAATTTATTTATTGTGATGCTACACACGACAACTCGAGATTTAAATTGTTTCACCAACTACCAAATTTTGCATATTCTAAAACTTCATTTGCATTTGCAATTGCAGCTGTCGCTAAAAGCATCCCCACGAGGCTACTGACATGCTAAACTTATTTAAAACTATTATTATTCCCATCATCCTTTTAGCACCCATATTGCACATTTGACTATTGTCTCAGTGACAACTTTAATTGAAATAGCTGTATAAGATA